GTATATTAAATTGTTAAAGCTTGGAATATCGGGTAAAATCTATAAAATTATCAAAAATATGTATAGTAAGGTAAAATATAAAGTTAAGAGCAAAGAAGGATTAAGTGAACACTTCACTTCAAGGGTGGGAGTAAAACAGGGCTGTAACTTAAGCCCAACCCTATTCAACATTTTCATAAACGATTTACCTGATGTTCTTAATAAACCTGGATGTGACCCACCCAAACTACAAAATACACATATTAACTGTATAATGTATGCTGACGATCTTGTAATACTTTCTGAATCAAAAACAGGATTACAAACTTGCCTTGATAATTTATCGATATACATTAAAAAATGGCATCTAACTGTTAACACGGAAAAGACAAAAACTATGATCTTTAACAGATTTCTAGAGAATGATATTTTCTTCTTTGAAGGTTGTGAGTTAATTACTGTAAAATCAACTAATTACCTAGGATTAATAGTAAGTGCTAATGGAAAATTCAAGGAAGGCCTGGAAAGCATAAAAAGAAAAGCTTTAAAGGCCTTATTTTCCTTAAAGGGAAAAACAGGCAAAAATCTAAGTATACCACTGTCACTCTCTCTGTTTGATAAACTAATCAGACCAATTCTCACATATGGTAGTGATGTATGGGGGAGATGAAATTTCACTAAAATCACCAATTGAAGATGTACATATATATTATCTTCGTTTTCCTTTGGGTACATCCAAAAAACACTACAACAATGGGTTTATACGGCGAACTTGAACATTACCCATTGGAGACTTTTATTGAAAAACAAATGATAAAATATTTTAATCGTATAAAGAACTCGTCAAATGCATTACTAAAACTAGCTTTCCAAGAAAACATAGAAATTAATAGTAAATGGTACACTAATATAAATTCCCTTTTGAATAACATCAGTCTAACCTGGTCGACAGCAATGAAATTCTAGCCGCAAGGCAATTAGGACAAATTAACAAAAATATACAAACATCATTCATATCAACTTGGAAAAGTGAATTACATAATGACAATCGATCAAAACAAAATGAAAAAAATAAATTAAGAACATACAGAGAATTAAAGAACAATTTTGCCTTCGAAACATACCTTGTTACCCTGAAAAACATCGAGATGCGCGAAAATTTAACTAAATTCCGCCTCAGTGACCATAACTTGAAAATTGAGACTGGCAGACACAAAGGAATACCCCTTGCTAATAGATTATGCAACCTTTGTGATCAAAATGAAGTAGAAGATGAGTATCACCTCATGATGTCATGTAAAAGATATACCCCCCGAAAGAAATGTTCTATTCGAAATGGCAAAAACCAAAACTTTAAAAATTTGCCACCAAAGACACAATTCATAGCCTTGCTAAATAACAGTGGCCTAACACTCCCCGTAGAGCAAGGTACCTAAAGAAGTGTTTTGAAATAAGACAGCAACCCCAGTGACAACCTTCTCTCACTATTTTGAGTTTTACATTTTGTCTTCTAACTATCGTAGTATCATAATTTTATACTTGCTATTATCTGTAATGTATTAGCTTAGATTGTTTTGTGTTTTTTTTTGCTTTTTTTATCTATTTACTGTTTTGTAACCTTTTATTCCATTTTAAACTTTTGTAACCATTGCCAATCCCTCCGGGGAATGTGTAAGTGTTAATAAAAAAAATTACAAAAATTACAAATTACATGATAAGCTCTGCTCGACAAAGTTGACAGCGAAGCTAAAATGGATGTACAGACACATCCCAAGAAGCATGATGTTTGTGTGATCAGTGAGGCATGTTTGAAATACAAGTGGAATAGAACACAAGCAACCACAGTGGTCAAAACATCAGTCCTTGTTTTCTCACTTCATCCAACCGGGACCTAATGACCCTTGACAATATAAATATATCATATTTGCTGTTAAAAGCACATTTCTAATGAAAACCCCAAAAACTTCCATTTAGTGTATGCTGAATCATTAAAATACGACTAAATGTGACCGTAGACACACAGCTGTCTAGACTGTCAACAGATCTGACGTCTAATTTCTTTAATGAAATACCTCAAACTAAGGTGTTCTTCTGAATGGCAATTATTTCCAGCAAATGCCATCCTAATTAGGCCAGACATCTGTCAACCTCTTGTAATTTACATAAGCATGTACATGTATGCTACCAATAGAGCAGATACACTGTACAACATATTGGCTTGAGTTAAAAATATTGTTTTCTTGATTTTCGGCACCACCTCACACATAGAGACCAATATGGGTGGGTGATATATATATACCCCGTAGTTAAACAAGCAGCCTGTCGGCAGAGATAGCTCCGCTGTTAGCAATTAAGAACTGAAGATATCATTAGAAAATGAACAATATGTAGCACAGTCCTATATGCTTAACTTTGAAATCAAACTATGTATCCAATGCAACCCCAATTGTCGATATATCAACCAATACAAAATGTAATAACACTGCTACTCACGTACGTCCCAAGTGGATTCCAAACTTGTACCAAGTACACACACGAGACAAAAGAAAATACATAAAAGACTAAAGTCTAAGTAAAATTACTTATAGTAAAATAATATGCTGTCAATAAATTTGCTAGCACTATTGGCAACGAACCCATCTCTCGAACTTAAAATTTCTGTAAACATTTGTTGTTCTGATAGTTTAAGGGCACTTTCATTATAAATGCTAACTACATTCAGAAATTCAGTACGAGCATTTGTTATTCCAGTATGGTTACAGTCTAAAAGTGCATGGATTTCATTGCCAATAGCCCCATTGTTACAAAAATGGCACTTTCTTTCCTCTGGAGGTATGCCTTGATATCTAAGTTTTTCAATTGGTAGGGTATGTGCAGATATCCTAAATTTGGTGAAGCTGGTTCTATGTTGTGCATTTTTTACTTGATTCAAATATGGTTCAAATTTATATGTAGGTTTGAACTGAGTGTATGTATGTAATTTATTGTTTTGGGTTGTCTGGACTGTTGGTAGACAAACTTTTTCAACATAGATTTCTTTTAATTTTGACTTAAGCAGAGTATTGTCATCAGCATCACCAGTTTTAGTTATCTCCTGTAATTTATTTACAAATGTTGCCCATGTATTACCTTTGATTTTGGTTTCTGAGATGTAAGCACAATGTACTAAGTGACTGCAATTGCTGGTGTTGTTTTCAATTCTTTTCTTGTATTTAAATAATTGTGCACATATTTCAGTAATAACAGGATAACTTCCAAGTTCAGCTCTAGAAGCAATATTACTTGAATGCCTGTGCACTCTTAATACACTTTTACAGAACTTAATGTGAAGTTGCTCAAATTGTGATCTGTCATTAAAGAGATTATTAACAAATCTTTTTGTATCAATTTGATCATCCTGTTTAGATTTGTAAATCTTGAAGGTAAAAGCCCCCCAAATTTCTGAGCCATACATTAAGATCGGTAAGACTGTACTTTTAAAAAGCTGTAAAGCATTACTAATAGAAAGAGTTTGGTTATGTAAAGTGATAATTTGCTTTTCCAATCACCCATCACACGAACCACTTCTCCTGGAATCCCATTGCATAAGGCCCATGTAGCCCCCTCCTCTGCGAGAACTGTGCTCTGAGTACTCATTAAGAGGGAGAGAACAGAGATATGTAGATAGTCTGCGTTGAAATTGACCTGGGGACAAGGGTGGGAGGAGGGTGGCAAAATACAGGCCCAAGGGCACTTGCTTTGTGGGTAGAAGCGAGGGCTGCCAAAAGTGCTGTGGCAGAACAGAGCAGGTGGGGTGCAATACGTGGTATACATGTAGGTATCGAGAGTTGACGTTGCTGAAATTGAATGGTTTTAGACCACCGTACTTGGAGAATTAAACCCTGGGGATGGAGAAGAATGTCATCGCGTGATAAGCGCTTGCCATGAATGAATACACCAGGGAGGGACAAGGAGGTTGGACAGCCTAAAAAGACCAAAGAAAGCACGCACACATACTGCCAAAAATATTCAATCAACTGGCATAGATAAGTCCACTAAACTACAGAGCTTAAGCAAAATAACTGGTGTGATAGGAAGTTTGCGCTTAGGTGCGTCTCCAAGGGTACGCTTAACACCCCTATAAATTGAGGTAGGTAGCCAGTTTGTGTACTCATCAGGACTATAAAATAGACAGGGTATGACACAGTGCATTCCATTTACTGACACAATCCCTACCAAACTTCTTGTACCTGCACATTATTTAGAGTATTTATATAGGACAGTCGAAAACAGAATAACCAAGTCTCCATTATTTTAGTGAAAAAATCTCAAGCCTATTCTCCAAGTGCTCACACACTGGCATCAGTGGTTAAAAATAAATTAGTTGATAACAATGCATTTTTTTTCTTATTTTATTTTGCCCGATATGATAGAAACTTTGAACAGCATGATTGCACAGCAGCGATTATCATATTTAAAGAAAATAGTCAGAATAAATTCATTTTGATTATGGCAAACCATACTCTAGCACCAGCCTTAGCTGTCTTCTTAAAAAACAGCTATGGAACAAAACAGCAACAACTATCAGTGTATTAGGCCACATTTTGTGTTCATTCTATATTCTGTATTCACCATTGGCTGCAAATTGTATTTTTTTTGTTTTTGACTTTTTTTTTTTTTTTTTTTTTTTTTTTTTTAAAAAAAAGTTTTTATTTTTTGTTTTTTTTTTTAGATTGTAGTTTTTTTTTTAAATTTCTTTCTGTAAGACCCTTTTTATCCTTTCCTAAGGATTTTATGCGTCTAATAAAAAAATAAAACTAAATAAAAAAAAATATTTTCTGGAATTTACAGCAAACATTCAATATTGAGCCAAGATGAGTGGATTATGTTTTTAAATAATTTAACATTGGGTGTATCATGTTTTATAAACAGTAAGGTTGCACTATAATGTGAAGAAGAGTATGTTACGTGTTCTATATGGCACACACCTATTGGTAAGCTTGAGAAATGTCATACCCCATCTATTTATTGTAAAGAGCTGGTTGAAAGAAAGATGTTTAATTACAAACTGTTTACTTTACAAGTAATCTTTAAGAAGCACTATGCAAGAAAAGACCTACAAATTCAACATTGAAATACTAGTATTCTCTTCTCAAATCACAATCATAATGTCATTCAAGGGTTTTCTTTGAAGAACTGGGACCATGGCATTATCAGCAGGATAACCAATCGGCAGTAGTAATAATAACTTTTCATTTGATGGCCTCTCAACCAACTTTCGTATCGCTGGTCCTGCATTGAGTGGAGTAGATGTCACTGTGCACAGACCAACATTCTAGAAATAGAATAAACACTGTTATTAATTATTATTTTAAGGTACATGTAGAGATGCAGTTTGCCTGACAGGTATTTTAATTAGTTAATTAGGAAACCAAGATCACCTCCCATGTCCACAAAACTATATATTTTCGGAAAGCTTATTGTATGAATTTTAAAATTTTGTTAGTATTTTTGTTATGGACACTGTAGTTTGAAATATGCTCAAAAATGTGCTTTTTTGGTCAAAAGTGATTTAAAAAAAAATTTAGCTCCTAAACCATGCTTGTTTCCTGTCAAAATTGGTTTATGGGTACATCTGTTTACTATGAAGAAAGTGCCGTCTTGAAAACTGTCTACCAGTTGTCAATTTTGCAGGGCAGCAGTCCAAATTTCACTACTTCAAGTTTATGCATAAATTAACACCCAGGCTAGTTGTCTGTACGATTGTTGTAACACTGTTCAACCAAAAACAATGCCCCAACGGCGTTTTGAAGATAAACACATTGTCAATCATTTGTGAAAATTTCAAAACAAAAGGTCAAAGCGTCTAGGAGCTATTTTTTTTTTAAAGTTCTGGGATGTGCACTAAAAAGAAGCCGAGATAATTGCTTACATGTATTTGCATAACAATTCACTCTGTAAGAAGTTTTCTAATGCTCATAATTAAAATGGCTGTAACAGTTCCAAATTTAAATGTATTATCCTTTTGTTAAAAGTTAAATATAGTGCATAATATGGAGATCCCGTCATTTCTTTTTTTCACCATGTTTCTTTTTTATTATTAATTAACAGCCTTGCTAAATCTTGCTAAGCATTCAAAGGAGAGAATGTTTGCACCTGTTATCTGTTATCTTAATTACACCATTGATCTTTGATGCAAAACCTCAACTTTGTCACACAATTAAGTTGTGGTCATTTCACATGAAATGTATAAACGGTTATTGATTAAATTAAATCCCAAAATTATTAGTAATCATGTTAACAAATTAAAGCATCTCTGAGACTGTAAAAAGAAATATACACATTGCTTACCCAATCATAAATTATGATTTTGATTAGTAGTTGTTAATAAATCTGATATTAATGTTTTGTAGGGTAACTTATGAGATATCGTCTATCTATAAAACTCTTTATTGAACAAGTAACTTGTAGAATGCTGTGTGGGTAATTTTTATATTGATTTTCGTTGCATTTGCTGCAAATAGTTACCAAACAATGAGAAATCTATAAGATTGGATATATCTCTCAGCTGGCTTCACAGGCATAGTTCAAGACTACCTAACCAGTGCTTACAACACAGACGGTTTGTGGTTACAGCTTCATTTTGCAAGAAATTGACATTACAATAGAAAATAAAAGACTGGCACTGGCACATGCAATTAATAGCAAGTGAAATTCCTGGGATTGAAACATGGATTTTGAAGTCACTGATGTAGGCATTGAATAACTTCAAGTTGTCATAATGACAAGATAGTTTATTTTAATCAGTGCTGAACTAGAGGCTGAAATTATAATTAAGTTCGTTGTCATATAATTTGTTTATTTCAAATTCTCCTGAAGTCAAATAGAATACACTGGTAAAAGAATGTTTTGGGGTGTAGTTTACATTGTGTATGGAGTGGTAGGATTGAGTTTCATATAATTTGTTCATTTCCAACTCTCATGAAGTCGCATAGAATTTCACTTAATTTATTTTCGATGAAAAGTTTTCAAGCATTACCTGTGAATCCAATTTTCACTGTGCTGTGACAAGTATGAGGGAAATTTTCACTGAAATTTATTTTAGTGGAAAAATGTTTACATTGAAAATGTAATACATATTATTACATATGTACTGCAGTTTATTTTGATTCGTCCCTGAAATCAAAATCGGTACTTCCACACCCCATATGCAAATGAGGTCTGAGAGCGAATAAAGTAGTCCGTTCAAGAGTAGCGTTTTTGGAAACATAGCAGAAATAAACAATATTTAGAAGTACGATATTTTACCCTTGCGTACATGAATATATTTGCCAAGTGAAATGAAATATGAACAACATTAATGGAACTTCTAGGCAGTCATTTATTTTGACTAAAACAAATTTGCATATCACCAATGCAATAATGTTTTTGGTATTTTTCACGGTCAATATGCAAATGAACATGGTATTGGCGATCAGCTCGACTACGATTGCCCTTAAAATCACTTTTGTGTGTCTGCGTGTGATTTCCCGTGTTTTCACTTATAAATTCTTCTGTGTTTTTGTTTGGTTTGGCCGATTTTGCTCAAACTTAGCAGGTAGGTCACACCTTTATCCTAGTTATTAGGAAAAATCGGGGGGGGGAATTCACACAGTTGCCATAGCAACAGCAAAAAATATTTTTGGATTGCTTCGTGCTAAATGTATCTCCTGCTACAAACTTATGATACAACACCTCAGACATAGCTTATTCTACTCAGCTTGAGTGTGGGCACAAAGTTACTATTTGTAAAATCTAAAAACAAATTATGATCACCATTTCCATGGCAACAGCCAAAGACTGATTTTTTGAATACCTTCACGCCAAACGTATCACACCCTACATTTCTATGATAAAAAGCACGGGCGTAGCTCATTCTAATCAGCTTGAATGTGGGCAACAATTCACTGTTTTTTATGTCTATTTTCAATACAGAGAAAATTTACCCAACGTTGGGGTAACTTTTCACCAGCAACGACTTTTAACTCCTCTGAGATTTTGTTTGGCTTGGCTGATTTTGTTCATACTTGACAGGCAGGTCGTACTGTCTCTAATTGGAAAAACAATCCTGGCCCATAGCTACCATGGCAACAGTCAAAAATTGTTTTTTTGAATACTTTCGCCCCAAATGTATTACCTCTCACCAGTCTTGTAATGTTAAAATGATCATGCTTTTTATTTTGGCTATGTTGCATACCGGTAAGAGATCAACGGCGCCGACATTGTTACACTGTATGAAAGTAATCTCAACGCAACTTTGAATGAAATGTAAATGCTGTCTCCGATCTTGAAAATACTATCGCAAAACAGTTGGAAATAATAAATTTAATGGCAGAATATGTCCTACTCCTAGCAATAAAATAAAGTGACTTCTAAAGACTGAATGTTTTTTTGTGAACTTCATGTACGATGCCCGGTTTTAGTTATAAACCGACGTTAGCTTCACGTTCATGTCCTACATTGGCAACAGCCGATAACATATACCTTGTTTTCTGAGCGGAGCGGAGCGCCAACCAGCCTGCCGGCTTGTTTTCATTGGCAACCGAACTAATTTTATTTTGTAAAAAAATTTTATCCAGTTCAAATCGTTCAGCAACATTTTTGGAATATTAGGTGAACATCACATGGAATACTACAATTGAGAGAACTTGATGTATGTTGAGTTTTATAAACCCTGAAGGGCTCTTGGAAGATCAACCCACAGTAAAATTAGCGATTACCATTGATCGAGGCATGACCATCAACATCAAAGTACCAGGAGGTTTCTGCTGGCGACGTTGCAGCGTTACGCAGTTCCAAATAAAGATTACCAATGCCAAATGAGCAACATTTTAACCGGTGATCAAGATTCATTTAATCGATGGCTAACAAGCAACATCACAAGCAAAGTTGTAGCGTGCAGTACTAGTAAGTCATCCCGTCAGTGGAGTAGCACAGTAGCACGACATGTTTGCCTTCAGCATTGTATTCAAATGAATCATGTGGTGTGCCGTTCTCCTTCAAACTAGGAATTCAGTCAATAGGGGAGTTTCAGTAAAAAAACCCATTGCAAATCATGCAAGTTCAACATTTTCAAAGCAGTATACCAAAACAGAAATGCTCAGAGATGCAAAAGAAGGATGGATATTACTTTTCACTGTACACATCTCTGTTGATACTATCCCTCACATATTCTACTCCCAATTACTCCTGCGTAAAATGGACTAGCCTCTTTTCATGTTGACATTCATAGTAAAATCATGTGACAGGCTGTTAAAATTGGCTGTTGCATACTCTTTCGCTTATCTGGAAAATGTGTTTAATTAGCTCTCATTCAAGCAACAATGCAGATTTCCCAGTGGGAGTGAAACTATTCGACTGCCATTAAAAAATAGGGGTGTTTTCAGCAAAAAACGAATAACCCTGGAATGCACACAACATACTGAATTTCGGAACAAATCGTGCATTATTTACAGCAGCAGAATACCACAGAAATATCAGACGAAACATGAAAACACTATATACCGGTATTGTATTTCAGCCTGAACCCTCTATATTGCAATTCAAGGAATTAACCCCATATGTGCATCCATTTTCCACCCTGGTATCACCCACCCCTGAAAACAAACTCTTAATACCACGCTGAAGCGTTTGGTAATAAATCTGCACACT